GACCCCCCTATAACACTGTTGATAATTCCGTTTTATATGAATTCCATGTTGTACGAGTCACTTAGATTTTATAAATACATGATCCGTTCACAGCTCGGCACACATATTTGTAAAATCTAAGTGACTCGTACAACATGGAATTCATATAAAACGGAATAATCAACAGTGTTATAGGGGGGTCAACTTGTATTTAGAGATTGATATCATAATTAATTTCAATTCTTAACGTCAAATAACAATATGAGGTTCCTTGCATCTCTTTAGACCTTCTCCGAAAAGAAACTTAAAGGTTCTCTTCATCTTCTTTTCTGTACTTATTTTTCCAACATATATGTGTGTGTCTCGTGTACTGTACAGTATTATTAGATCAATGTCAGTGTGTAAGTTTAACAACTTCGATCACGTGCGGGGTCATCACAACCCATCAAATTCGCATGACTTTTTAAATATTGATACTAGACTTGTATTAACGTACTTTAAAATATTTCAGTATTTAACAAACCAAAAAAGACCACCTAAATAATTAATAAATTTAAATCGAAACTTTTCCTGCAGACTTAGAATGAGATTCCCGAAGTCAAAGTAGTGTCGTTTATGTTTTATTTGAAATTATACTTTGTATTAAACCTTTATGTATTACTCATAATTTGTAGTTTATTGAGATTTATATTACTTTTATGTTTCTTCAATTAAATTTATTAAAAGGATAAAATGTGAATAAAAGAAAAGTCGTTCATAAGGAAATCTTCATCGATAAAAATATAATGAACCGTACAGGGTTTGCCTAACAACATCAACATTGGAAAAGTACGGATTACAACAAATGTTATATTTAATTAATAAAGGTAAAGTTTACTGGTGATGTTTCAAGGTCACATCTGTAAATTTCATTTTAATAATTGATTGTATTTATGAGAAAATGGAATTATTTTAATTTTTAAAATAAAATAAATTAAATCCAATAATGTTGTGACGTAACGCAGGTAACGTATTTGTCAAAAGTAACAAATAGTTGGCAGGCATTGTTGAATGTTTTGATTGTTGCCACCAACTTGTTGAGAAAAAACTGTTTGTTTTTTCTCCTTTTACTAGACAGTAGACACTAATGGGGTGGATGGCGGCCGTCTCCTCCCCTTCAAATATAAGGTAAGTATCTACAGAGTAGGCACGAACGGGGTGGGTGGCGGTCGTCTCCTTCCCCTCAAATATAAGTAAGTATCTAGAGAGTAGGCACGAACGGGGTGGGTGGCGGTCGTCTCCTCCCCCTCAAATATAAGGTAAGTATCTATAGAGTAGGCACAAACGGGGTGGGTGGCGGCCGTCTCCTCTCCATCAAATATAAGGTAAGTATTTAGAGAGTAGGCACGAACGGGGTGGGTGGCGGTCGTCTCCTCCCCATCAAATATAAGGTAAGTAGTATCTATAGAGTAGGCACAAACGGGGTGGGTGGCGGCCGTCTCCTCCCCCTAAAATATAAGGTAAGTATCTATAGAGTAGGCACGAACGGGGTGGGTGGCGGCCGTCTCCTCCCCCTCAAATATAAGGTAAATATTTAGAGAGTAGGCACGAACGGGGTGGGTGGCGGTCGTCTCCTCCCCCTCAAATATAAGGTAAGTATCTAGAGAGTAGGCACGAACGAGGTGGATGGCGGGCGTCTCCTCCCCTTCAAATATAAGTATCTAGAACAGTGTTTCCCAACCTTTTTTGTTCTATGCTCCACCTAAGCCTTTCTAAAATTCTTATGCCCCCTTAACACATATACAGCGGTTATACGGTTAACTTAAACTCTGGATAAGTTCATTTTCGAATTGTCCCTCTTAACAATCCAATTGCCCTCTTGTGGGGCGTGGGCCCCACGTTAAGGAACACTGATCTTAAGAGTAGACACGAATGGTGTGAAAGGATGCTGTCTCTTCCCGTTCTGATTTTTATCTTTTATTTCGAATATTACGCGAGAAGTGTTTGAAGCACATTATATTTCATTTGCAATATTCGTTCGTATGTTTTAATTTGGTAAGGTATAGTTAGTGAATTTCATTTCAGTAGTTAGAATATTGCACGCCTTTCTTTATATAGGAATAATACGATTAATTTAATGTTCTGTATAAATGTTTGTATATTAGAAATGTACAGCGTTCAATTATTATTAAACTATTTAACTAACGTGAAACAGATATTATTCAAGTGTGAGTTAGGACGAATGAAACTGCACAAGTGATGTTAATCACGTGTGGAGTCGCATTCTTTCCAACTCTCGGTAGAACTCTGACGCAACCACCTCCCCGTGGTGAGTTCTGGGTTGCCATTCGTTTGGAAATAACGAAGGGTAAGCGAAGAGTTGCGTGTTTTCGTTTAATTTGTTATTATTAAAGTGAATGAATGAAAATGAGCCAATACACGCAGGAATATGAAATCAGTTATTTTGTTGTGACAAAGTCAAGTTGTTCTCAATTCTAGTAGTGTCTTGTTCCTGTAAATCGTAGTTTTTCTCTTGACAATACAATCAAATTTGATGTTAATTATATACGTAAATTGATTATCGGCATTAAGTGGAAAATATTTCAATTGAAATAACCTGATTTCGATGCAAACCGGATGTTCGTATATAGTTAATGTGGCCTTTTCCCCAAAGTTTTCGACTTTTGTGTATATAAATCTACAAATTAAAGGACATTCAGTTAGAAAAAAATTTATATGTATACTTAAATCAGTATAATAAATATTAAATCTACTCCATTCAGCTTTATGGCAACAATTAACTTGTTAATATGAAATTTCTACATAATTTATTTGTATGGGTAGAGATTTGCAGCATAAAATAAATATTTATAGAACGAATTAGCCTTTAATTTTACGTGTTGTGATTGTATAAACAATTATAATTACTGTATGTGTTTGGTAGAGTATTATCATTTTAATAGTTGATTTATTAATATAAAAAATTACATTTACAGTCGACCCCCTATAACACTGTTGATAATTCCGTTTTATATGAATTCCATGTTGTACGAGTCATTTAGATTTTACAAATACATGAGCCGTTTACAGCCTGGCACACGTATTTGTAAAATCGAAGTGACTCGTACAACATGGAATTCATATAAAACGGAATTATCAACAGTGTTATAGGGGGTCGACTGTACCACATGAAGCGTGTTGTACCCGCCGAATGTACAGAACGTTACGCGCAGGCCAACATTTACGATGTAAGTGTAACACGATAATTGGAAAATGTTTTTCCTCAACGTAAGTGACGTAAGTTTACGTAAGTGACGTCATTCGATATGTCAATCATTTCTACCCGTGATCCAATTGGTTTAAAATGGATTGCGCCGTTATACAATTTATTGGAGGGTGATAGGAATGATTCGGGAGGGATTTGTTAAGCACTAAGGTAAAAAAACGTAATCACAACTCGTTTACAATAATTAATTTTTTTTGTATTTGTTATCGCGACACAAACAGCAACATCTTAACTCCAGCTACTTAAAAATCCGGATGGCTTACGTGTATTTTGAAATTAATACAGCAATTTCAAAAAAACACTGGGGTTAATTCATCAAAGAACAGGTTGCTTGCTAAACAAGCGATCAGTATGAAAAATCTTAGAAATGCAGTATAAAGAGTTTTCCACCAAAAGTATAAGAAGCGACAAGAAGAACATAAAGATTGTGCAGTACTGTTGAAGGAAAAATAGAACTTACTGCATATTAAAATTAAATAATTATTAAATAAAAATTATCTGAATGTGTAGCAGACATTACTTAGTGAAAAAGATGAGACCACGACAAAACACTGCAGTCTTTTGCCCGAGCAAGGAAGGCATAATCGTAGTCCTTCACCCCATTTTTACAAGATCAAATCTTGTATATTTAGCAAATTTTAATTCTTCTTTACAAGAGACTCGAAAGTTAGCCTTAACTTGTGGCAATCAAATAACTTATATCAGCAGCATATATCTCTAACTGAAAGCATATATCTCTTATATAATTCACGTTAATTATTTAAAATCGAAATCTTCTCAAATTTTATCATAATTACTCTGAAAATGTTATTATCATTCACTTGAATTAACGAATCATAGAAATATATTCCTCTGTGTATGTCAAAATACGAGGAATAGCAGACAATTCCTTCATGCCAAACACATATCGAGATTATTTATTTATTGTTTGCTGTCGTTCGTTATGGGAGATCAAGGAGCAATTAAAATAGAATTTGTGAGTTTGTCTTGACAGGTTACTACTATTTAAATTAGGATCTAATCTAACGAATTTGTTTATTTATTTTTTGGTTTATGTGATCCTGTTAAAGACACGGCATTCTACGTTAGGGTTTATCTTCAATCAGACTTAATCACCTTGAATTTTTCTATATGAAAACAACAGTCTTTGTTGTCTATCAACAGAATCTTCTATTTCATTAATGAGACCGGGTTTATGAAGTGTTAATTGTTTCAGGTGAAGTTTGACAAGTCACATGGTACCAAATTTGGTAAGCCTTTTAGCCTACTTTTTGGTGAACTTTTAGCCTAAGTACTTTCTGGCAAATAAGCCATTAGAAGTGTGATTTATATATTTTATCTGATTACATTCGAGAATATTTTGAATCACGTTCTGCTCACTCAGATTTATTGTAAGTGTCTAGCTGTTTACTAATATAATTCACAGCTGTATATCTACTTTCTCACACCTCCTGTATAATATATTATCATTAAAATTATATTTAGATTAAATAAGAATAAAAATTAGCAATTAGTTAATGAAAATATAAACATTATCAAATTAAAATTGACGAGACATAAAATTCATAAAAATATAAACAAAGTTACAAACAATTAATATAAAATTCTTCATTTATTAATATTACTATTTGCATAAAGAATTTCCAATAAAGATACGAAAGAAAAGAAGCCAAGAATACGGGTAAACAACCTTGAAAGACAGAAGACAATAATAGGACATTGCCAAATCATCGAGCATTTGACAAAAACAGCTTGGCAACTTAACGTCGTTGCTTGTCTTCTCGTCACAGTTCGAGTTAAATTACCTACAAAGCGACAAATAAGTCTGCTTAATTGTAAAGATTTTTAACTGTTTTCATCCGTATCAAAGTAAGATACAATTTATCATTAATAATAACAAATCTTGTATATTAATTCTAATTTCCATATTTAATATTATTAAGTACTAATTTATGAAATCTTTAAGCTTTATATTATCGACGTTATTTTTATATTAATTGAATAAATCGTAAAGTCGAGATAAGTTGGAGGTATAAATTTTATTTTTCAATTAATTTAACCGTAAAAATATGTTCTTTTTTTTTTGGCACTTTTACAAGTAGGTGTTAACGTTTTCGGGCCAATAAATCTTTTTGTCTTATTTATCTTTTCTGTGATTCGAAAAAAAACAAAACGAAAAAATTGGCTCGGTGTGAAAAAGTTATATACAGCAGTCGGGAGGCATAAAATTCGAAAAATTTACAATACACCTAATACTACAGTTTGCTTTATTTCATGCTATTCTATTTGATTATTCCAGATTATATATTTATTGTTATTAAAATGGAAAATTCAATTCGAATAACAAAAAAAGGGGAGGGGGAATTTATATGTAAAATCTGTGACAGCGGTTCTCAACCTTTTCTACTCGTGTGCTATCTTAACCTATTGTGTATAGACTTGTAATACTAATAGACCCTTCTTGTCTACCTCTAGGGGTACGAGTACTACTGGTTGGGAACTTTTAAAAGTCACGTGTATTCCGGAACTTTGTGTATATATATAATACTATATGCATTAATATTATAATATGTGATGTAAATTGTGATTTTTATTCATTTTTTTTTTTTCTACAGCTATGGCGATTTGTACAAAATGGGATTGTAAGGTAAATAAAAAGTTGTTACCTGTAAAATGTCATTTGTTTTTATATGCATCAGGTAAGTAAACTGTTTACTTATCTGTTTTAATAATTAAATTACATTTAATTATTAATACTTATTCATATTTCTTAGCTATTGCCACCATACTACCTTTCTGCCCAATCATTGCCAAAAATTTGGGAATAACTGCCACAGCTGTAGGAATCATTTACACCGTAGTTCCATTTACGACAATTATTGTCTCTCCATTCTTTGGATGGATAGCTGACAAATTCAAGCATTTAAAGTTTATCATTATAATTCTGATTATTATCCAGACGCCATTTTACTTTGCAATTAATCACATACCTCCGATAAATAAATCCAAGCAAGCTTTTAGTGCAGAAGTAATTTGCAACAATAACAATTCTTATGCATTGGAATCGAGTGTATATTTGCCATTGTCAAGTAATAACAGCATGGTGTGTTATGCCGACTGTCATGAGTGTTTCACAGCAGAATTGTTTAACCAATCTTCTGAAGAGAATCTTCTTACCTTATGCAGAAGAACTCTTAAATTAATGATTCAAAATGCCAACAATAATTCTAAATTTATTACCATAGATAGCATAATTTCGGATAATCAAAGAATTTCTCTACACTGTTCTGAAAGTATGAAAGATTTCTGCAAAACTGAATGCATTCTACCTGGCTATTCAAAGGAGAAAGAGGCTCACATATTCTCATCGTACCAATTTTGGACAATACTTTTCCTCATGGCTTCATCTCTAATTACAACGAATGTTATAATATCTTTATCGGATGCAGCGTGCTACGAGGAACTCGAAGAAGAGGTTCAAGAATTTGGTAAACAAAAACTATGGTACTCCATTGGATGGGCATTAATAACAATGCTAACAGCGTATATAGTGGAAGTTGCAAACACGGGGAGAAAAAAAGTGGATTATTCTCATGGTTTCTACATGATGATACCTCTGGTTATTTTTGACATTGTAGCACTTCTAAATACAGATTTAAGAAAACGAGCATCGTCGACGGATATTATTAAAGACATTGCTAAAATATTCAGAAGACCTCATCCATTCTTTATTGTTTTCGTTGTATGTTTAGTTGGGATGTTTTCCGGTCTTCAATGGAGTTATAAGTTTTGGTATTTGGAAGATATGGGAGCGAATAAATTGCTGTTTGGATTATGTACTATCGTTTCCTGCTTCTTTGGTGAAGTTCCCTGTTTATTTCTTTCTGGTCACATCATAAATTTTATCGGAAGAGATAACAGCATGTGCCTTGCATTGCTAGCATTTTCTTCCTGGTTTCTGGCTGCTTCTTATATTTATAATCCTTGGTGGATATTATTGATGGAATGGACGCAAGGACCTTGTTATGGTATATTTTATGCTGCTATGTCATCATTTGCAAAAATCACCGCTCCTCCAGGTACAGAAGCCACTATGCAAACTATCTTGGGAGCCACTTTCTACGGATTAGGTCTGTCAATTAAATCACATATAATTTAATTTAGATAATAAATGATCTTATTATTGTTGTTATATTCATATAATTAATTATAACGTAGACTTTTTAATTTAGGTGTCGGTTCGGGAAGTTTATTAGGAGGATTTGGATTTGATATGTATGGCGGTAGAAAGACTTTTCGTTTTGCTGGTTTCTTCGCTTTAGCTTCAGCTTTATTGTATAAATTCATTACAGAAGCTGTAGAAAATGAAAAATCTAGCAGAAAGAAACGTGAGTAAAATTAAATTATAGATTAAATTTTTATCTAGTTATTGGAACTACACTACAACAGAACATGTTTCCTCGTGTCCTGACAATTTCAACTCGTTATTCTTGAATAATTCAAATATGTTCTTTATGATCATTTCTACTTGATTGTTTCTCGTTCTTGTTTTAATCCTTAAGAGTAAGCATAAGATTTCTTGAGAGAATGTATTATACAATAAATATAGAGGCTTTTATTAATTCTAGAGATTCTCTAGAATTAATAAAAGCATATATATCTATCTTCGTTGTCTGTTACTATATGATACTTTCGCTCAAGCAATGTTACATTTACTCCTAAGAATTTTTGATCATTGCTATAGCATTTCATGACTCTGTATGTTAAATTAACAATAATAATTTTTAATTACATTTTGATTAAAATTTTCTGATAAAGCAATTGGATTATCATCTAAATTTGCGATCATTTTATCTCTTTAGCTTATCGGTATGGATATTAAACTCTACAATCTTGCATAATAAAACAAACCTTACATTTATAAATTTATTGTGTTAACTGTTGTTAGTCAATTCATGTTATTTTGTAATTGGAAATGTTTTCAGTTTATCAATTTTATTTAGCTTATTCACAATTTCTACTGATAAGAACAGAAATTAGCTTGCAAGAGAAACAGGAGATAACAACGTTGGCAACGTTAACAGGAGGCAAATTGTTCTTTATCTTATGCAACATATCTGGAATATAAAGGTGTAGTATCCAGCGGAGTATTCCACCATATTAACATTCCATCTATCTTGCTATATTCTTTCCATCTCCTTGCTCACTGCATCAAAATTTTCAGAAAAACAGAACAAGTGAGCACGTAGAGAGTGAAGTTTCAAGCTCGTTGAACATTCCACACTTTGAATTTTGTTAACATATTTTCAACAATGCTAACATATTTTAATCCTTATTGTTTCCAAGGAATTTACGAACGATCCTTTGGAAGGGAGTTTAATTCTCTCTTTTCACTTATTGTAAACAGGAAGTCGTCATCTTACATCATTCTTTTTATGTCTAGTACGAAAATACGTTCTTTTATGTTGGCTTCTTACAGGTGGGAAAAACTTTTTGCAGAGGTATATGAAACATATTCCTTGTCCCGTATATTTACAATGAAATACTTTTATTTTGCTACTACAAAAAATGAATTTCGTGAAACAATCCAGCAGCGAGTTGCTTAACTTTCCCAACAACATTTGGTGGCGCCATCTGTTATCATATTTTACTAAAAAAATTTTATATTTTTAACTATCAAAAAATGGAGTAAAGCTTAAATTTGAGAGTGGGAATGGGTTTTGTAAAGAATTGTAAATGCCAATAACGAAGAAAATGTTCATTTAATCTGAACCTACTGGAAATACACACGACCATCTTTATCTCCCCACTCCCTCGACCTTTAATCACCAAAATTTAATAGCATCAATCCCCCTAATAAATAAACCATTCTGCAAAATTTCAGAAATTTTCGACCAAAATCACAGGAGTTATTAAGCTTCAAAGAGAGTGAACAAAATCGTGCCCCCACGCACATTCGTACTTACAAAAGAAAACCCTCAATGTTTTTTATTTCTTGACATTTTGAGATTCCTTGAGTCCAAAAATAAAAAAATCTTGATGGTCATTTTCTGTCGGATCGCCACATTTTCCCTCTGTTATATATAACAGTTGAGAAAATAAAAAAGAAATGCTATTATTGTTTTGTTTTTTACGTCATGATTAAATTCTACGCTTGGTTATGCATTTTAATGTTGTTTTAGGGGTAAAGCACTCCTAAAACATCATTAAAATACATTGTCCTCAAAATTACAGCCTTCTATTTTCTAACTTCTATAATTAGAAGAGGATGAAATTTGAGTTGCAAGATTTGAAAAAATACAAAGAAGGTTAAATAAAAGCATTCACTTACAATGTACGAACAATTCAGTTTACAGTTCATATCTATAAGTATACTTATACTTAAGTATAAATTACTAATACAATTTAATTCCCAAGAGACTTATTTTATATTATTATTGTCACTATTTACATAGAAATATCGTAATGCTAAGATAAAAATATTATCTTTTAAAATGTGTCTTACATCACATAATGATAAAGTTATTTCTATTTACTCTTACTAAGCAAAAATCAATTTATCATATTTCCAAATATCTTCGTAATTTCGTATTCATTTCTTGTTAAACAGAAACGTTTTGAAATGGAATAACATTCCATTACAGGCCTTAAATTTCTTAATATTTATTACTTTTCTTCTACATTTTTAAACACGTATAACATATATATATTATATTTTCTCTATTCTTCAATAAAGAGAAAAGAAAATAGAACGTCTTCCCTCTTTGGAAGCACTAAAACACTAAAAAAATATGTACATAAGTTACTGTTTGAAATGTTTTTATTTTTATTTCCTCTGAAGAGTGTAGAGTCGTTATTTCCTTGTTTAGAATACAAAAGAATGTTTACCATACTCAGAAATAGGTATAATAACTGTAATTTCTCCACTTTTATATANAATTTAAAATATACTTTATCGTATAAATATTTACGAAATAATTTCTTACGACGATTAAGAATATTACAAAAGTTAAAAAACAATTTTAAAATTCTAATTTAAAGTCTTCATTTAGGTTGGAAGATTTATATATAAAAATTTTAATACTTAAATACTTAAAAGAATAATAATTATCAATCAAATTTTCGCTTATTATTTAACTTTATTATTCAAATAAAACAAGTTAAAATGTCAATTTTTAGTGTTATTTATACATAAGATTTAATCAGAAATTGGATTAAATCGAAAAAATACCTTTCAAATGAACATGTTTAAATTACATTTATCTGATTAAACATGTCTGTATACAATGCTTAATTTTGTTAATAAACCAGCTATGAGTTGCTAAACTTTCCCGGCAACATTTAAAATTTTGGTGTTCTATCTGTTATATTTTACTAGTAGCCTGGGACGCCCCCTAGTAGGCGTTCTTTACAAATTTCCATGAGGCACGGTTCCTTTGACTTTTTTGTTCCTATCAATATGATCTACAGCTGTGTTAAAATCCGAATGGTAAGATTTACCCTCCGAATGAAAAGGTGGCGATCCCCCCAAACCGTAAACCCCTGTACTAAGAACAAAGTCAAAGGAACTATACCCCTACTCGCGACCCTTCGAGAGATATAAGCCCCGTTGCGGCCGGATGGCCGAGCGGTCAAGGTGGCAGCCTACCGCTCTGGGGGACTCGGGTTCGAATCCGAACGGGTCGAAAAATCCCTAGGAATTTTTGGGGGTGGTCCGTTCGGATATGTCGGGCACCGTCCCTCACCACCCGGCAGCCCCATTGTGGGCCCGGCCGAACCCATAATGGGCTTGCAAAAAGAGGCCCTCCTAGTGCCCACAGGGCGGAAAGAGTTAAAAAAAAAGTAAGATATAAGCCCCTGAAATAATAAACTCCTATTACAAATATACTGAATTATTTATATCGTTATATTGACCAAATAATAATTTATTGGCCAAATGAATAATAATAATTTATATTGTTAATTTAAATAATAATTAAAATTGTTAATTTGAATGTTTGAAATATGACACACGATAGGGGCGCCTCTAGTGTCCGTTATAAACGGTTACGGGACGGACACCTCTTGAATGGGTTATATATATCAAGGCCACTTGATCGCTTCACTAGTAAGGCCGTCCGCCAACTATCTCTCTCTATGAGACCGAGCGTATAGACGTTAGTTAATATTTTCTCCGCTTGTGGCGCTGACGATCGGTGACATCCATCGTCAGCGATTCAGGTGGAGAGTATAGAGGAGTTTGGAGAGGTCGCTGCATTTAAATATTTTTCTCATTAAAGCAGGTTGAAAACTTTTGACAATCAAGAAATGAGCTGCTGCAAACGATGTTCCCTAGTTTGTGAAAAAAGCGAAATAATAATACAGTACAGTATTTTTCACAACTTTATTTTCATAAGACGTTTTTAGGAAGAAATAATAACTGAGTATTATTGGCATGGAAAATACAAACTTTTTCACATTAATACTATTTAATCATCTCTTTTCGATTCTTAAAGATACCAGTAGTTAATCGTTAATGTAAATATTTTTTTTACTCGAAAAGTATGCAAAATTAGCAAAACTAGGTTACCTACAGTATGCACTGTCTACTATAAAAATTTTCACATTTTCGGACCATATATGATAATTATTAAAATGTTGTGTATTAAATCTGTTATAAAATTATTACTTTTGTTAATCAAGACTGTAAGAATAAATACCGATATAACCTTTCGAAAAAATTTGCTTATTTTTTTGCAAAAATAAGCAAAGTTTTTAGTTAGTAAAAAAATTTCGAAAAATATGCACGGAAATATGGTGATATTGAAGGTAAGAACTTATTATAATTAATATTGGAGAAGTACACAGAAATGTGAACAAAAGCAACATATATTGTTTTAAAGTTGAAATTAAAAGTATAACTATGGTAAAAGTAACATTGCTTCAGTTTACATCTCTAATATAAATAAAATTCTTTATAGAAAAAGCAAAAGCTTATTACATAAGAAAAATTAATTTATTGAATAAAGTGTACACTGTTTTTGACTGAATTTTACA